TCCCCCAGCATCTCAACTGCAGAAACCATCTCTGAGAGACCTGGGGAGGCAGCGCTTCCTAAAGCCCAAGTCTTGCGTTATCTATGATGCCCAGACCCAACTGTGGCAGTGAAGAATTACAGCAAATGTTTCATGTAAAGTGGCTGGTTTACGTCTTTTGATATTTCATGTGGGCAGAAAATTGTTTACGTTTACCCAAAACACAGAAAGAAGATAATCATCCTTGGACCTGAACTCAGTGATCCTAAGAGATAAAATTCTCCTTGAATCATCACTAATAGAAGTATTCAGATAGGAAATATGACAGCAGAAAATTGGGCCACTGCTAAAGAGGGAGGCAGTTTCTCTGGGAATAGTAAAATGTTTGCTTTTTCCGTTTTCCAAATCCAGTTACCCTTGGGCTGTGTCTTTGATGTTAATGTAGCTAAACCCCTGGTGAGATTCTCACAATTTTATCAGAAGAAACAGAAACGGAAGGCTGGGCTCTCTTATTGCTGGCCTCCCTAATCGGGAGGAAATTCACAACAGGCTTGTCAAGGGAAACCCAAATATAAAGCCGGTGATATTGTTTTTTTCCAGGATGGTGTCTTATGTATCTCCACATCAGCAACACCTCCAAAAGCACGTCGCTATTCAAGCTACTATATTTTTACTGGGCTACATTAATATTATGGCATTTAAAAGGATTTCATTGCAGCTTAGGATAAGTGATAAGGATGTCTAAAAAAATCCACATGGACATCATGACTCTTGTTTTTCCTGGCTTATTTTAGAGAGTTAAGAAGACAATAGGTCAGAATCTGTCATATTAACTGAGGTCACCTGATGGCACCTTGTGTGCCTGTCCCTGAGATGTTTTTCCTCTGCTCATTTACGACCCCACCCCCATCCATCATACCAGAGGGAAGGGTCACCCTGTGAGGCCCCAGGGCCCAGAGAAGAGCCCACGCAGGCAGAAAAGCAACATCAGATATTATGAATCTTTCCTCCATTTAGTGGAATTATGGGATTTCTACTTTTCGGCTGTTGGGGTATTCTTTCCAAAGGTCACTCAAAATCAATGAACTCATTAATGTCCTTGATATTGGTAGCCTCATGGCCTCATATGATGAAGAGGCATAACTGGATTCCTGCGTCTACCTTCAGGCCAACCGAAGCCTGCCCTGGAAAGAAATCAATGCAGGCCCTCATGTGCAGTAAGCTCCCGAAAGCAACCGTGACAATGGACGACACTCATTAAACCCTGACAAACACTGCATTTGTGCTTCTCAAGAAAATAACTTACTCATTTGTTTTCTTAACCAAAATAAAGGGCAAAACCTAGTGAGACACACTAATAGAAACCAATTTGTTTCTTTTTAGGGAAATACAGCAACATATTTAATTTTGCTTTTCATTAAAAAAGAATTTGCAGAAGACAAACACCCATTTACCTTCACCAGGATTTCCAAAGGTCCCCTGGCCTAGAGATTCACATAAACCCCAAGCTCATCTGTTCGAAGCAGGCCTTTGCTGCTCTGACCTTCCCAGGGGATCTCCCAACAGTCAAGGCTGAGCACCTAAGTATCCCTCAGGCTGACAAGTCACACTCTTCCCGGGAACCCAGCAGGGCACCTTGGGCCTTGGCCTGTGAATCATGTTTCTGGACCCTCTCCTGACTGCCATCAGCTCCCAGCTTTCCTAGGTCAACTCTCTGGCACTCCTATACCTGCTCCTAACTCACTCACTAAGATACTTGCACAGGCTTATTTCCATGGCTGATTTAGTTAATCGCTTTTCTCCACGGAGAGAATCAACCACTAAAGGAAGTGATCTGTGCAGAGTAGGAATCCTTCCTGGGACAAACTTCCCAGCCAGATCCCAGCAGGCTGGGATGACTTGATAATCCGGGAAGAGAGACCTGGGAGACGGCCATGCCAAGGAATAAATCCAAACTAGTTCAGCAGGAGTTACAGTTTATATACAAAACAGAGACAAATTAACCTTTTACAGATCATCTGCTGTGCATATGGCATTCAGGACAGCTTCCCTGAAGGTCAGGACTAATTTAGAAAAAGTCCCTGTGTTCCTGGGGTTTTCTGTGCCATGCAAGGTCATTCCGTGAAGCCAAGAATCCCGGTGCTTCCCCAGAGTGACTCAGCCCCGGCCAGCGTGGAGGAGGGAGGGTCCTCCTTTTAGCGCCCTCCACCCCTGGCACAGCCTGGGTGATGGGGGAAGGAGGTTGTCCTCTGTCCTTATCTGTGCCTTGTCCTGGTAACCAGAGAGAAATATAACCCTTCTCCACCTAAACCTCCTGAGCATGGTTTATTTATTAAGATCTCCAATGTTTTAAACCATGTGTCACCTCCAGTGACTTCATGACCTCCTTTTCTGGGCCTTGTTGATGGGTGGAGCTCAGACATTGGGAACAGGGTCTGACTGCAGCAGTGAGCAAGAGAAGTCAGGTAAAATGCTCAATTTCCAGACTTTCTATAAGCAGATCATGCCACTGCTTTGGGGCCTTGTTGTCATTTACAAGGTCATTTTTAGTGACAAGTCTATTCGACTCAGGTTGAACGACCGGATATGAAGTCTCTCTCTCTCTTTCTTTCAATGACTTACTTACAAACAAACCAAAGCTTCTTACTGATGATGTATTCCTCAATAAGATAAACACCTGTGTTGTATTTATTTTCTAGATGCTGTTGTGAAGTAAAAGCCAAGTGCTTCTCCAAAACTTTTGCGTTTAAAATTGTATGAAAGGATGAAGCTCCACTATCTGACTGAGGAGAGGACATGGGCTTTAACAGTTCCTATCAGAGAGACATAAACTCTATATTCTGTATGCCAGCATCATCCCCTCACTAGATATACATTTCCTTTTTTTATTTAATTAGGTTCACATTTGAAGGAAAATAAAGTCTGTTCACAGAGATTGCAAAAAGGTGAAACATGAACATGAGGATGCTGCTAATTAAAGACGTCTAGGAAACAAAAGAACAAACATATTATGCATAACCACATATATTTAAAAATCCTCCTGGTAGAACATGTTCTCACTTATGAGTGGGAGCTAAATGATGAGAACACATGGACACATAGAGGGGAACAACACACACTAGGGCCTACTTCAGGGTGGAGGGTGGGAGGAGGGAGAGGATCAGGAAAATTAACTAATGGGTTCTAGGCTTAATACCCAGGTGACGAAATAATCTACAACAAACTGCCATGACACAAGTTTACCTGTGTAACAAATCTGCACATGTACCCCTGAACTTAAAATAAAGGTTTAAAAATCCTCCTGGTAGATATCTCAATTTCTCACCCAGATTTCAGTTCTTCTCTTCCTTTAGGCACATGCCCCATGGAGGTCAGGCATGGCCATGAGACTTGCTTTGTCCAATTAAACATGAGCAGAGATAACATGTGTCACCTCCAAGTGGAAGCACTAAGAAGATGTTTGTAATTCTCCCATGGTCTCTGCCTCTGCCAGAGCAGACCCTGAAGCCACAAATTTGGATGATAGGGTTAAACGATGATGAGGTCTCCATTCTAGGTCCCTGAGTCTGGACGACTGAAAAGATAGACCCCAATTCTTCCCCTCCCTGAATCTATACTCCCTTGCCATATAAATTTGAGGGCCTCTCCCGTCTGACTCCGAACTTAGTCAGATGACTGTCATCAAATCCTTCCATTTGCCATTAAGAAAAATAACATGACCCCTAAAGAGAGAAGATGAAGATGTTTCAACATAGAAAATTAGCAAATAAAAGTGTATAAGTGAGTCTCTATTCTGATTATCACAAGCACATTTCAGCTATTAAGCTTAGTATTTTTCAACACCCTAAGTTAAATTATGATGATTAATCAACATAACAGCAAGGAATGTATTGTTCATTGAAGCATGAGGGGTTTTGAATTCACTGTAAAGACAATTTCTTTTAATAAAAACTAAGAATTCCATTATATCCTAGATTCCTGTAATGTGCTATGACGGCAATGTATTTCAATTTTGATTTGGATCTTTTAAATGCCTTCTGGTCGTTGGTGTAGAGTAATCGACCTCTCTAGCTAATCAACAGGCTGAAAAACAAAAATGGTGTGTCAGCATGAGGGTTTAGTTCCAAATTCTTCTCTCTATAAATTGATAAAATGTTGCTTAGTCAAAAGGTGTGTTAACATGTGTTGTGTGTGTGTGTGCATCTGCATGTGAGGTCATAAAGACATGTTTAAAAAAGGCAACTATTTATAATCCATGTCGGAACACAGACTATGCTCCTCACAATTCTTTTCCGAAAGCAGCCAACACACATTTCGAGATATGCCAACAGTCATTATCCGAGGATGTACAGAACAGAAACACCACGCATCACGCGGACAGTAGCCTTTTCAGGTAAATAACACAGCAAGAAATCAATAGCGCAGAGCAAGAATTCAACACCGTTAGAAATAAAGAACTGAAGTTTCTTGGAGGCTAAATTTAAAATCTTTTCTAGATACCAAACATAAGCCAACAAATTATTCATATGCAAATATACATTTCAGGGCTACATATATATTCTTAGTAGAATCTTCAATAAATAGGTCAGAGATACAACATAACTCTCAAGAAACTGGAAAACACCCAAAGGGCAAGAAAACAGGGTCTCCACTTTCCAGGTTTTAGTTTCAGAATATCAGCTATATGTGCAATGCTGAGGTTTCTCACAGATGCAAAATACTACTACCTTGTTTTTAGAAGCAAACATAAAACCACAATTTTCTCAAAAAAGTTAACATAATGGCTACAGTTACAGTGCCGGTAACTAATTTCTCTTCATCAGTCAACTCACCAAAGGATGTCTGAATCAAGCATTATAAGCCAAACACTTATTTCAGGTTTACTTACAAAATAGCATCAACCTTAAGAATACTAATTCTGAATTATAATGAACCCATAAACGGAGACCCGATTCCATCTCTGAAATAACCTTTTCAGAAGGTGAGCATGGCATCCTGCACCCTGGAGATGCAAAGCCTACCTGAGACAAGTGAAACAGTGTCTTTCTCCCATGAGACGACAGTGATGTACGCCTCCACCGAGGAGGGGATAATGCACTTGAAGACCGCAACATTGCCTCTCATGGTTTTCTGGTCCTCCACACGGACTGTATAGGGCTCCCGTAAAACTGGAAGGCAGAAAGAGGACCTCAGTAAGGCACACAGTCCACAGGTTCATTCTGAGAGTATCTCATTGTAATGTATACATTGCAGCACACACACACATCAATTGCATAACATATCTTTCTGGAACACAGTTAAGATACTTACATTTCACGTCTTTCATCACCTGACTTAAGAAAACATTCATTCCCTTAACAATACATGGCTAGGTAAGGTGTCTCATGCCTGTAATCCCACCACTTTGGGAGGACAAGATGGGTGGATCACTTGTGCCTAGGAGTTCAAGACCAGCCTGGGCAACATGGCAACACCCTGTCTCTACTAAAAATACAAAAAAATTAGCTGGGCATGGTGGTGTGTGATTGTAGTCCCAGCTACTTGGGAGGCTGAGATGAGATTACCTGAGCCTGGGAGGTTGAGGCTGCAGTGAGCTATAATCATACCACTGCACTCCAGCCTGGGTGAAGAAAAAAAAAAAATACACTACACTCTATACCAAGGGGCCGGAGTACAATCTAAAACAGTTAATAGACCCCTTGAAGGTATCAAGAGATAGGAAATAGCTTCATGAAAGAAAAATTGCTGGCTCTGCAGAGTTATGATGATAGCAAACTGCTCCTGGTCCTCTAAGGGCTGAGGAAGAATGTTTTTTTTTTTTTTTTCTGACTGCAAAAAATGAATAAAAAACTCGAGCAAGACTTTTTTTTTTTTTCTGGAAAGCCTTGAAAACTCAGAGACAATTAAAATAACTTTTCATCAGTAAATTTTTAAATGACAGTTTCAAAGCAGTTTGGGAAACATTGATCCTGTTTTCCGTTGTTTAGGGAAGGATGTTGATTAGACAGCCTGCTCAAACACTTCCAATGATAGCAGCATCCCAGAAAGAGTGCAGAGTGCACGTCCACGTCCTTGATGTCTGGGCTCACAGGCAGGGTGGTACTGGTGTTGAGAGCCTACCTAGCAGGCCCAACTCCCTGGGTTCAAATCCAAGCTCAGCCACTCCCTGATTGTGAGGCAGTGAGCACATCCTCTCACCATCTGTACCAACGGGATGGTGTTGGTAACACCTGCCCCCCAGGGTGACTGTGGTGAATCAGTAAATGTTGGTGAAAATTCAACAGTGTCTGCTAGAAATAGGTTGGGTAAGGCCACATTTGCCAATAGCCAGAGATGGATCCCCAGGGTTGGGGAAGATCTGTCTCCAGGGAAATAAGACATTGATGAATCTAGTCCCAATTAGATGTGCCAGCCTCACTTCTTTAGAGCTTTGTTTTCCTCAAATTTAAAATGAGGGCATTGTGGTGGGAACCTCTTCAAAGTCTAAATCCTGTAAGTCTACGATTTTCTAAGATATCCACAGAGATAATCTATAGTCTACCATATACCAGCTCACTTAAAGAATCAATCACTTACTGGACAAATACGTGCCATGAAAACTGGCCGTGAACATGGTTTCAAAAGGTGCTAACACACCAACAAAGCTAAAGGTGAATTTCTCAAGGGAAATCCCCCAGTAGGCAGAGGTGAGCTCTTTAGAAGAGGATTGTTAAGGCTTGGCTAACCCTGTGATACGCTGAGCATTTTCATAGTAAAGCATGTCTTTCATGAGAGCCTTCCTCTCCAGTTTCCATTTTTAACATTAACATTTTTCCCCAACTTGGAGAATTCCTTCATTCTGGTCTCTAACTAGAGAGATTTTTCCAAGTATTGAAATCTTCTGCGACCCCCACCACTGTAATCCCCATGCAGCATGAGGTGAGGGTCCAGGCAGCAATTCCACACCTCCTGCAGGAGGTCCACTAGGCAAAAATTCAGGGCGCCCAAGAGGCCGACCTCAGCAACAACCTTACACCCGGAGGAGGGAACTGACTTTGTACAGGAAGGCTCCTGTATAAGTAAACCCTTGCTGAGAACTGAGGTCTACAATCATAGAATAGAAGGAGATTACAAAGATACAGGCAAACTAATCAAACTCATCGGTGAGTGAGAATCTGGGCATGGTGAGAAGCAGAAGACAGAGAAGAGGAGGATGGAGGACAGAGGAGAAAGAGGGACTGGCCAACAGAGAGAGAGTCTACTGTCACAGGGATGGGGCCCCTAAGCAGGGGTATGATTTCAATGTAAGCTCCTTTGTCTGTGTGATGCTTGTTTCTTAGCAATAAAATCACTCTGTCTCCCCAAACCTTCCACAGACTCTGCTTCAAACATTAATGACTTAAGTAGGATAATTTTTAATAGAAATCAAGGAAAGGGGTCAAGTTTCATGTATCATACAGGAAAGTGAAAAGATAAGATGTTCACCTGTTTACCGGGAGATACAGGAAATGCCTTCCCACCAGGTGTACAGCCCCACAGTAGACGGGATCACAGGAGCCATAAAAATAGGGGGTGACTGACCGGGGACATTTCCAGTGTTACTACCCAATGTCCAATATTCTAGGAAACCCCTCAGTCCCAGCACTTACCCACATATCATGGAGTTTTCTCCTCTCTAGCTACCCACTGCCCTCACCAGTACCAGGGCACCTCATCAGTCACAATTTTAAACCTGTGTGACTTTTGCTTCTCCAACCTCCAGGTCAGCCCTAAGAAGCCCAGATCTTCTCAAAGCAGAGACAGCACTGTGGTGCTCTGAACCCCAGCTCGCTCAGAGAGAATGGGGATCAGAAGAAAACTGCACACTCCCCGTCCCTTCTCCTTATTCAATTACTCATTCCACAAAGACAGCCCATGTAGCGAGTCTTTAAAAAATTATCTTAGAAAATACTTGGCGCACAGGAGGTATTCAATACATATTTTGAGACTGAATATATAGAAAGATCTTCCATTCTGGGAGAACTTCTAATCCTTTTACAGAATATACATGTATGCACATTTGAATTTATAGCCACTATCTATAGTTTTTTTAAAAAATGCAAATCAGGGTTTTATTAAAGCTCCCGATCTTTGTAACAGAGCATTGTTTGTTCCTGAGGCCCCCATAACTTAAGACACCAACATTGCTGTCTATGGGGGTATACCTCTCAGAGGGCCCTATGAGTTTCCTGAGCCCACAGTCAGCCCGAAGACATGGGTGCAGCTTTGATCTTCATTCTACATCTGACTGCTGCTAACTTTGTCACAGAGACTGGGCTAGAAACCTGAGATGCTGGCAAAAAAATACACTTTGTTTTAAATGTGACTGACATCTGCGTTAGAAGATAAGAGTATTATCTAAGTACTGTGCTTGGCGTCCTACGTAAGGCTCTCCCCTGAAAGCCCAGATCTTCTCAAAGCAGGGACAGCACTGTGGTGCTCTGAACCCCAGCTCGCTCAGAGAGAACGGGGATCAGAAGAAAACTGCACACTCCCCGTCCCTTCTCCTTATTCGACCCCAAGAGGAGGAGCTAGGTTCAAGTGACTGAGCAGGGACACAATCCTGAGAGGCAGGGAGAGTGTGAGTAGGGCAGGAGGGAAGCAGCAAAGCAGGCATGTAGTTTCAGGTGAAGTCCCAGCCACGCCTGACACGCATGGCCATGCAGAGGAGCCGGGATTCCCTGTTGTTGAGCTGTCTGTCATTGGCTTAGGGCTGGCCTCAGGAGGTTGGAACTCCCAGGCATTTCCCACTCTTGTTTCTGTCAACGGCTCCAGTGCCCAAGCAATCTTCTGAAGGCTTCAGGTTCACGTTCTTGGCAACCAGCACACAGACCTTGGGGGATCTGATTCAGGGATGCCAGCAGGGTCCACTGTAATCATTTGAGCCTTCATTCAGCAAAATTTGTCATCTTTTTAGATCAGAAAAAAAAATCCCTGGTAATATGACTTTGAAATAAAATCAGGCCTATTTATTTTTTAATCAAATATTTTCATTGTGATATAAGAGTTGTACATATTTTGGGGGTACATGTGATGTTTTGATACCTGTATAAAATGTATAATCATAAAATCAGGGTAATTGGAATATCAGTCACTTCAATCTTTTCCCTGTGTTGGGAACACTGTAAATTTTTTTTCTTCTAGCAATTTAAAAATATACAATTATTAACTATAATTTCCCTATTGTGGCAGCAAATGTTAGAACATATTCCTTCTATTTAACTGCATTTTTATACCCCTCAATCAACTACTCTTTATCCCCTCTCATCCCCTTGCTTCCCAGCCTCTGGTATCCGCCATTCCACTCTCTACCTCCATAAGATCCACGTTTCCAGATCCCATATATGAGTGAGAACATGTAACGTGTGTCTGTCTGAGCCTGGCTTATTTCACTTAGCACAGTAACCTCCAGTTTCATCCATCATTATATTCTTATTGGATGGATAGTTTGCAAATATTAATAGTCTCCCCATTCTGCATGCTATGTCTTCAACTTTGCTGACTATTTTCTTTGCTGTGCAGAGCTTTTCTGCTTGATGTAATCCTATTTGTCTATTTTTGCTTTTGTTGCCTGTGCCTTTGAGGCCTTACCCCAAGAATCTTTGCCCGGACTAATTTCCTATAGTGTTTCCCTAGTGTTTTCTTTTAGTAGTTTCATAGTTTCAAGACCTAATTTAAGTCTTTAATCCATTTTGAGTTGATTTTCATACATGGTTAAAGATAGGGATCTAGCTTCATTCTTTTGCTTATAGATACCCAGTTTTCCCAGCACTAATTTTTAAAGAGCTTGTCCTTTCCTGAATGTGCGTTCATGGTACCTTTGTCAAAAATACGGGAGTAAGTGCATGGACTTACATTTGGATTCTCTATTCTATCCCAGTGGTCTGTGTGTCTGTTTTACGTCAGTACTATGCTATAGTACACCAGTACTACACCTCTGTAGTATTCTTTGAAATTAGACTGTGTGATACCTCCAGTTTTGTTCTTTTTGCTCAGGATTGCTTTAGCATTTCAGAGTCTTTTGTGGTTTCATACAAAGTTAAGGATTTTTTTTTTTTCTATTTCTGTGAAGCATGTCATTGGTAGGGATGGCCCTGAATCTGTAGATCACTTTGGGTAGTATAGATATTTTAACAATATTAATTCTTCC